ATCTGATCTCTCTCTGACATCCCACTCAGGCCTTCTGTTGCATACCTCTTCCCACCCACTCAACAAGAGACTAAAGCAAACTGCATTTTCAAAAAGTGGACTGTGATTGTTTATTGAGGGCAGCAGGAAATTATGAGCAACCACACACTGCCCTCCCATGTTTTATCAAGATGACAGCAGCCTTGGATACGCACACCCTTCCCAACATCTAAGCAAATAAGTACCTGTTCAGCCATAAAAAGAGGCCTTTAGCAGCACTGATCAACTCCACCACAGATGCCAGGAGATCCAAGCTGGACTTTTCGGTAGCCGCTCTGTGATAATTGCTCACTTTTCTTCGACTCAGAATGCAGACCTCGATCGTCCGAAGGATCCCTTGCAGCTTCTCTGTGAGTGTCCTCAGGTTGGAGGTTGTCAGCTCATAGTTCTAGAGAGAGGAATACAGGCCCAGATATTCTGTAAGGAAAGCAACGTTTCACCCCTTCTCTACCAAAGCTATCGGCCGTCCATTGAGGGTTCGCTGGGTTTTTTTTCCCCCCTGCAGACACCCACCAAAACACAAAGCTGCTCCACAGCTTCCAGGAGGAGCTCCTGGTGGCCGATGCAGCTCACGCCCAGATTCTCCAAATCCCGATAGGATAACCGGAGCAGCCTCTTCCCGGTCAGCTCCCACGTCTCCACTGGGTAACTTTGTAATGCTGGATCCAAACCTAAACAGAGGAAGCAAAGCAAAGCAAGTGATTTCCTGGATTTCACCAAACCAGTCCAAATCTTTTGAGAACTGTAGCTTAGCTCAGGGGTCTCCAACCTTGGCAACTTTTAAGACTGGTGGACTCCAACTCCCAGCAAAGCTAGCTGAGGAACTCTGGGAGTTGAAGTCCACCTGTCTTAAAGTTGCCAAGGTTGGAGACCCCTGGCTTAGATCATCATACGCACACACCTTGCCTCAAAAAGAGGCCAGTTTCAATCCCTGCAGTAACAGGTAATCCTCAACTTACAACCACAATTGAGCCCCGAATTTCCATTGCTAAGCAAGACCATTGTTAAGTGGTTGCATCCCATTTTACAGCCTTTTTGCCACAGTTGTTAACTGCAGTTGTTAAATGAATCATGCAGTTGTTAAGTGAACCTGGCTTCCCCCCACTGGCTTTGGTTGTCAGAAGTTGGCTGGGAAGGTTACAAATGGTGATCACTTGACAGTACAATAAGTAAATACAAGCGCCCACATTTTGATCACATGATCATGGAGATGGTGCAATGGTCATAAGTGTGAAAACTGGTCATCAGTCACTTTTTTCAGTGCCTTTGTGACTTCAAAATGGCCACTAATGGCCACAAAATGGCCACTAATCAAATATTGTAAGCTGAGGACTACCTGTACTATTTCTCCCTTTCTCTTTAAATGTTATTTGAAAATTTGAAAATTGCTTAGGGTTGCTTTAAGGCCATCATTGCTTCTACTTGCCCCACCAAATCTGATGGGAATGACAGGAATCAGGCTGAGAATAGAAATAGCAATAGCAAGAGTAGGAGTAGGAGAAAGGATAGGATAGGGATATTGGCCAAGTATGATAGGACACACAAGGAATTTGTCTCCAGTGCATAAGCTCTTAGTGTACACATATACAACAAAGGGATAGGTCATAGATCACTAATCATTGACCATCCCATCGGTCATCCATTGGTCATCCATTGGTACCGTTTTCAGCTAGGATTGAAACATATGAATCCTTTTCTTTGGCTGCTACCATCATTTGTCATTTCTATGCTAGAAAAGGTCAATAGATTACTCAGAAATGTTCACAGGGCGTGTGGTCAAAATAGTCACAATAATTGCCACGATGTTACAGTTGAATCTCCTATTTATATATGCCCATAAAAACTTTGGTTGCACTCTTATGGTGGCTCTCTTTTTTGACCATACCCTGGAGACACTGCCATCACTTGAAAGACGATTTGCAATCCCCAGAGCCAAATTCTAACAGCTGCACAAAGGCTTGGCATCACAATCCATTAGATCAGGGTTTCCCAAAGTTAGCGGCTTTAAGACCTGTGCTGGCTAGGGAATTCTGGGAGTTGACGTCCACAGCTCTTAAAGTTAAAGCCAACCTTGGGAAATCCTGCATTAGACTGATGGATGGAATAAGAACAACTTTTTTTCAGAGATAGTTTTCATTCTATCATTAGCCAAGGCAACGAGACTGTTTGAATCACCGTTTCTGCTCTATTTGAATGCATTTGACGATTTAGATTGCTGTTTTAATAAGATTTACAGTTTTAAATTAGCTGAGTTTGCGTTTGAGCCATGGAGAGGGTGGGGCAGAACAAGCTTTTTTCCTTGAAAGACAGAAAAGAATGACCGTCAATAAATAACAGTATACCGAAAGTGTCAGAGGATAATGGAACGTGGCGGATGACATATAAAAGCCATCTTAAGCACAGTGCTAAATGCATATACACACACATATTGCATATACATATCCCTAGGTGTTATGTTTATATATCCTTCCTCTGAATGCTCAAGGGACTTTTTATTTTCTCTTCCCAACAATGCGGGATAGGTTGAGGGGTGCCAAGAGCTGAGTCTCCTAAGTCCTAATTCACTATTTTAAGGGCATGTGGTGGGGTGAGGGTCAGATATTTATTTATTTATTAGATTTGTATTGCCGCCTATACACCATGGTGACTCAAGGCAGCTTACAACATATAAAACCACAATTTAAAACAATAAAACTCGTAAAATCAAATAAATTAACATAGTAAAATCACCCCCCCCCCACCTCCCCCCAACGACAGCAGATCACACAAGCCATTTAATGCGCTCCATAGAGCTCTGGGTTCCCCAGGCCCGCTGGCAGAAGCAGGTCTTCAACACTTTCCGGAAGAGAATCAGAGTGAGGGCCAGTCTAATCTCTGGGGGAATGATGTTCCAGAGGGAGGGAGCCACCACGGAGAAGAAGGCCCTTCTTCACCCACCAGGTGTATCTCCCTCAGGGATGGGACCCGCAACATTCCTTGCCTCTTCGCTCTGATGGGTCAGGTAGATGTGACCGGCAAGCGGCTTTGTTCCTCATAATATTGAAGAGAGCAAGCATCAGCAATCCGCAGCCCATTCAGAGCTGCACATGTCCTGTTAAATCTAATCTAATTCTCTTGCAGATTTCGAGTTCCCCCTGTCTTCCAAGAAAGTTAATTTCGAAGGATCTGCCCTAAGTTTCTTCTCTTGTTTTGAGAAAGAGAAAGAGAGAGAGAGGGGGAGAGAGAGAGAGTTTAAGGAAAGGTCCCCGAACTTGACAACTTTAAGATTTGTGGACTTCAACTCCCATAATGTTTAAGGCAGGGGTGTTTAAAGCAGGGGCCCCCAAATTTGGCAACTTTGGGAGTTGAAGTCCACAAGTTGCCAAGTTTGGAGACCTCTGGTTTAAGGAGTTGAAAAGAAACAAGGAACAAGGTGGGGGTTTGTCACTCCCAAATTATTGGCTAAAGCTCCTCTCCCCCAGCCCGCAGTCTCATCAATTCCTGAAAAATACCAACTGCGTTTGGACACTAAACAAGCCTCCCTTCCTGAACCCACCTGGCCAGGACCAACCTTGCCCTTCGCAGGAATGCAGGGGCACCTGACTCCTCTCCAGTTGCCATGCCGGCCCTGGCAGGTGAGTTCCTCTCACCTGGGGCCGCAACGGGTTAGCCACAGAAGGGACGGAGCGAGTCTCGTCGAAACACACACACCTTTTTGGGGGGAGGGGAGGGAGGGAGCCCTAAGCCACCCCGCCAAGATCGCCAGGTCCTACCTCGGATCCAAGCCAGCACCGTCTGCGAAGTCCAGAGAGAGACAGGCTCCATACTCGGGCCCCGGGCTCGGCCCCTCCCTGCAGGCCCCCCCTTCCGTTCCGGGTAGAGGCTTCCGCGTTCGGGGAATCGGGGCGAGCGACCGAGACGAACCTGAACGTTCCAACAGGTAGTCGTCAGCCGGCCGGCTGATTGGCTCAACCTTCTGTCAGTCATGGGAAACACCCGCCCACTACTCTCGCTCTTGAAAGAGAGAGTTTTATTTTTTATTTTAAAAAAAAGCTGGACTTGAAACATTCTTTCGTTTGGGGTGGGCAATGTACCCCATTTATATGAAGCCCCCACCCACCCACCCCCTGAGCCAGCACTCAAATGCGGATAATTTCAGGCCACTCAGGTGATGCTCTTCTAATTTTTTATATTATATGATGTGGGAATCGTTTTATCGATGGTTAGAGAAAAAAATACGAAAGTTAGAGATGAGCAAATAGAAAATATGTTTATAGAAATAAACAAGTTAAGATGAGGATTGTTATAAAAATTAGATCTATTACGTATATCAGCAGTAAGCTAAGAGTAGAGAATTAATACCAATGTAATGATTGTGGCTGGAAATTTTAATTGTTATGGCACAAAATACCTACACACACACCCCTCCTCTGCATAACCCACCTCGCTGGGTTATGGTGGGGAAAAAAAAAAGCAAAGCCAAAACGCTCAACTTCGCTCTCTGCCTTAAAGGGACAGAGGCCGTTCATCGGCCAGAGGTTCGGCAACCAAGGGCGGCGATCCTAAGCTCGCTTCGAGAGGGAGAGAAATTCCACGGCCGGGAGCTGAAAGGCGCTTCTGGGATCGTCGGGGGTCTTTCAGGCCCCTTCCAATTGGGATCTTCCACAATAAACAAGACAGTTTTCACTACAGATACAGATGAACAGAGTTGGAGGGGACCTTGTAGGTCATCTAGTCCAACCCCCCCCCCCCAAAAGCAGGAGATCCTACACCATTTCTGACAGGTGGCAGTCCAGTCACTTCTTGAAAAGCTTCCAGGGATGAAGCCCCCACAACCTCCGAAGGCAAGTTTTTCTCCTGGTTGATTGTTCTCGCTGTCAGACATTTCTCCTTATTTCCAGGTTGAATCTCTCCTTGTTGAGTTTCCATCCATCTTCCCAGGTGTTGAGATTTTAGTAAACCTGAGCTAATTCTGCATCCAGAAGTGATAGAATTGGACTGCTTATATTTCCCTTTTTTAAAACAAAAAAAAAAAACAAACCATACATGCATAAAGAGAGGATTATACAAATTATAAGTAATTATGTGTATGTGTAAATATGTACATGTTCCTATAATCCCCAAAATCCAATCACTGCATCCTGTTGCAAAATGTGGTCTAAATCCTAAAACAGATTTGATGCATTATCAAAAGGAACGTCCTTTCCTCAATCAATCAATCACCAAACCTCAGGGGAGGAAACAATAACCCAGATGATTCCAGCTGGTCAGTCCTTTCACAAGTAGGCCAGATTAGGAAACTGGCTCTCCCAAGTTTGACTAGAAGTATAATAGGCTATATCAGAGGTGATATTCAGCAGGTTCTGGAGAACCGGTAGCGGAAATTTTGAGTAGTTCGGAGAACCGGCAAATACCACCTCTGACTGCCCTTGCCCCCATCTATTCTCTGTCTCCCAGTCCCAGCTGATCAGCTGGGTCTTCTTTGGTTGCCCTGCACAGGAGAACGGAGCTGGAAAGCAGGGGTAGGGAGGGAATGGAGATTTTACAGTATCCTTCCCCGGCCACTCCCACCAAGCCACGCTCACAGAACTGGTAGTATATTTTTTTGAATCCCACCACTGGGCTACACCAGTGGTGGGATTCAATTTTTTTTTTTTACTACCGGTTCTCTGGGCATGGCTTGGTGGGCATGGCAGGGAAAGGTTACTGCAAAATCCCCATTCCCTCCTCAATCCACTAACCTGCTTTCCAGCTCCGTTCTCCTGTGCAGGGCAACCAAAAAAGACCCAGCCGATCAGCTGGGACTCAGGAGGCAGAGAATAGATGGGGGGCGAAGCCAGTCAGAGGTGGGATTTGCCGGTTCTCCGAACTACTCAAAATTTCTGCTACCGGTTCTCCAGAACTGGTCCAAATCTGCTAAATACCACTTCTGCATCACAGCCAAAAAAGGAGCTCAGGAGTCCGTTTTCTCTGGCAAAGCATTTGGGCCGCCACAGGCGCCCCTGACACGAGTGACGTTGAGCTGGCCACATCCACCCTGGTCACACACACACCCAGCCCCCTGTAGTCAAACACAACCCTGATGCAGCCCTCAATGAAATAAAGTTTGACACCCCTGATCTAGGCAGTCACCAAGATTCAACACCTGACTTGAAGGCATAAATATAAACAATGCCTCCTTTGGTTTTCTGCAGACCAGATTTGGTGGCTTTCCTATCATGCGATCTGTGACTGCAAACAGGATGCCCACCTCTGCTCTGAAACATTGATGGAGTCCTCCCAATGAAGCAAATAGAGAAACATGAATGAACAGGATGCTGGTTTTCCATGCACAGCCCTGAATGGCTCATTGGCCCAGGAAAACTGTGATCCCTTTGGGTTTCTCCCTTATTAGGCTCTTCTCAAAAAATCCAATACATATACCAAGACATATGCATGATCACTATAAACATATGCATGATTACTATAAAATTCATTTAAAGAGAGAGAGAGATAATAGTACAATTTGTGACATGTGATAATCATTTGCGACCTTCCCAGGTGGCTTCTGACAAGTGAAGTGAAAGGGAGAAACTGGATTGATTTAATGTGTGACTTACTGAACAACTCTAGGGATTTGTTTCACAACTGTGGCAGAAAAGGTGGTCAAATTGGGTGTGATTCTCTTCACAATCACTTTGCTTAGCCACAGAACCATTAACCAGTGGAACAACTTGCCTCCAGAAGTTGTAAATGCTCCAACACTGGAAGTTTTTAAGAAGAGATTGGAGAACCATTTGTCTGAAGTGGTGTAGGGTTTCCTGCCTAGGTAGGGGGTTGGACTAGAAGACCTCCAAGGTCTCTTCCAACGCTGTTATTCTATTCTATTCTATTCTATTCTATTCTATTCTATTCTATTCTATTCTATTCTATTCTATTCTATTCTATAAATTATGATATTATATTGACTGTTTCCTATTATGATTTGATTGCTTATTGTATTCCTATGACTATTATTAAATGTTGTACCTGATGATTCTTGACTCTTGACGAATGTATCTTTTCTTTTATGTATACTGAGAGCATTTGCACCAAGACAAATTCCTTGTGTGACCAATCACACTTGGCCAATAAGAAAAGAATTCTAATTCTAATCCCCATTGTGGTCATAAGCTGAGGACTATCTGTACAACTTCCAAGTCAAAAGGAAAATATGAACAGGGTTAGCAAATATTGTTCCAGAAAACAAACAAGAATTCTGCATTCCAGAACACTCATATTGCAGTGCAGAGATTACAGTATTCCACAATGATGCATCATTGTCAAGGCACAACAATATTGGAGTTTTAGTCACTCTCATGGAAACTGACAGGAGGAGATCCTGTGCAACTCCCTTTTCAAAGCTGCAGGCATGCACATGTTAATATGTTTAAGAGAAAAATATTTGCACATCATCAATAGCCGAAGCCAATATAAATATTTATAGTCCTGTCGGGATTGCAGCTTTCAAGAATGACTGACCAAGCATTGGCTCTGTGACATAATCATGAAAAACAACAAAGTATTGTTCATGGGAAACGCTGATGTGAAAGTTAACCACCACAAGAGGGAAGCAGAAAAGAATGCCATATCTTACCCATGCATAATCATCTCTGTTGGATCATGGATCTGTTACTGGACAATGGTAGAATAAGGTGAGATCCTTAAGAGCCACTTCAGGAGTTGTGTGCCTATCAGTTTAGAAGCGAATCAAGGACACACAAAAAGAAAAGCTGAAAATCTTTCTGCAAATTTCAGAAATACAGAAGTTTATACAGGTAGTCCTCAACTTAAAACCACAATTCAGCCCAAAATGTATGTTGCTAAATGAAAGAAATTGTTAGATGAGTTTTGCCCCATTTTATGACTTTTTTTGCTACATTTGTTAAGTGAATCCCTGCTAAATCCCTTGTTAAATTAGTAACACAATTATTAAGTGAATCTGGCTTCCCCATTGACTTTGCTTGTCAAAAGGTTGCAAAAAGTGATCCCATGACCCTGGGACACTGCAACCGTCATAAATATGAGTCAAGTTGTCAAGCTTCCAAATATAAATCACGATGCTGCAATGGTCGTAAGTGTGAAAAATGGCCATAAATTACTTTTTTCAGTGCTCTTGCCACTTCTAATGGTCACTAAGTGAACTGTTGTAAGTTGAGGATAATCTATAATGCAAAGAAAGATAGGGATGCCAAATGCAGAGGAAGATTCCATGACTGAAGAATTCTACAGCCATAAATACTTTAAATTTCTAGAGTAATTCAGCTCCTTCCTCAGATAACGTCCTTCAGAGTTAATGTAGACCCCAAAGACAAGAATTCTGACTTTCCTATCAGTTTTTAATTTTGGACTCCTACAACACATTTAATGCTGTTGTTGTTCATGTCTGAGGATGATGCCCAACATTGAACCCTGAAGAAACCAGAGAGGTTTTGTATAATATTATAAGCCGCTAAAAACAAATTAATAAAAACTAATTGAGCTTTGCCGTTTTAATTATTTAACTGACTTAGATGGGTAGAGTTGAGAAAGACAACATTCCACGCTCTCTCCTGTGGAACCTAGATCAGACCTGGCTGTCTTCACGCTTGGGGGGAATCTCTCTCTATAATTTTAAATTACACCCATTTATTAAAGGCATATTTTTACAACTCTTAGAATTTTGAGCCCAAGCTCAGCTAACAAAGTGCATCATAGCAAGCACCTGCAACTTGGAGAGTCACAAAATTGGGAAAGGGCCATTCTAGGAAAGTGATTGTTTTGGACCAGAATTCACACACAAACACACACACACACACACACACACACATTGATTACCCCAACCTAGCTCTTGGCAGATGCATCGTTTGTTTCTTAAACTTGTAAACAGAAAGATGTGTGAACTTAAACTCCTGGAATTCTCCAACTAGCTTTCTGTCTGAA